AACGTCCTCGCTAGAGAGGTGGGGGGGGGGGGCGAGCGGGAGAGGGACTTGAAATATGGAGGAAAGGTAAAACTGAAATAAAATCTTATTCCATTGTTCCATTGAAACTTTAGTTCAGTTCAGTGGTAGAAGTGACCTAAGAGTCTAAGTCCCTGGAACAAAAATCACAGTTATTCCATGGGCCACAATAGAACAGGTTATTAGATTTCTAATAAGGTTGAATAATAATAATAATAATAATAATAATAATAATATTAAAGACTTGGAAGTAAACACTAGAAGTATTCCACCAGTGGAGGAACCCTACCAACACAATACAAGAGACAGATTCTTGAAGTGAAGTGACTTTTTCAGGTATCTACATGAGTTGTATTCTAAGATGAACAAAATGAGAATTCTTCTCAACTGCAGCAGACTCTAGTGCTCCATAACCTACCCTCGGCATATGCCTTTTTTGATAGTAGGGGAATAAACCTTTTAAAAATATTTTCCTTTCTTTGTTTTTAGTGCTACGACCACAGACTTCAGCTCCCTGATGCATACCAAGGTATTGTCATAGGTAGTACCTTTGCCTCCTGACCAAGAGACTCCTAGCAAGTTTTAAATGTGACTCTTGGTTGTTCAAAATTTGGTAACCCCTGAAGTAACACAAGTACAGTGAATTAAAGAACTCTACTTGCTGAATGCTCTACACCTTATAAAAACAAAGGTCAAGTGTTTCTTGCAAGGTTTTGGTTGGATTCTCCTACCACAGATCTGCCAAGATTATAGGGAGAGAAGAGATACCCTGGCCATGATTTAATCTTTAAGGATTTTGTTAAAGAAAAGATTTATTTTTATTTAACCTGCTGAATTACAGAACAAGGGCTTCCACAAGAACTGTTGTGGTTTTACTGGAAACCCTCAAAGAACCTGTAAATTTACTTCTGAGGGCCTTCTGGGATTATGTAAAGAGAACATCTTCTAACCAAAAGGCCTCTCCTCTCCCATAGAATACGAATGGTGTACACATGATAGCCAACCCAATTGGAACTGTGAATTCCAAAACCAATGGGCAGCATTTACCTCAGGTAAGAGGTGCTAATCTTCTGGGGGAGGCAAACACAGTCCATTCACAGCAGGTTCATATACAGTCCCTATAAGCAAATTGCCATGGAAGTTTTGCTCCTCTTGTCTTAGAGCTTTTGATAGTCAGGCCTATGCTAGTTCTCAAGATGATTTTTACTTCTAGTTGCCTCTTTCACAGACCAGTTATACCCTTTGGATTTTTTTTGGTGTGTCCTCCAGAAGAAGAAATGAGTCCCCATCAGAGTGCTAGATAACTGGAGTAATACAATAGCATTTTTGGAAATCTGGGTATAAAAGTGATGCATAAATCCAAACATTTGGTTTACTAGTCTATAATCTTTACTGATTATCTGTTTATGTTATTAAATCACCATATCAGTGCAGGCCAAATAACAGTCCCTCAGTGGGCATTTTGTAAACACTGAAGGTATTACAGATTTGACCTAATACAGGTTTGGACTAGGGTTTCCATGAGAGCAAGAAGCTCAGAACAGCACCAGAGTTATGTAAAAAAAATAAACCCACTACAAAGCAACAGAACTGTACATGCTGTACCAAATGAATTCAGAACCCCTGCTGCCTTTTTCCTGACCCTGATCTCTTCTTTCTGTTACCTCCAGGGTTACAAACACAAGATATTTTTAAATATCTTTTTACTGCAATTTTTTTACTGACAGAGAAACTTTTTTACTGGCATGTATTTTACTATCAGTAAAAAAAAAAAAGTCTTGTGTTGGTAGCCCTGTGTGACTATTGTAGTGGTTTTATATCCTGCTGTCCCCACCACAGGAGTCCCCTGCTCACCACATACCCTGACATGCCCCACTGCACCCTGTACCATGCTGTCCCCCACATCCCACTCCCCAGCCTTACCGATGCCTCACTCTCCCTGTCCCAGAGTGGTCCTCCACCCACTGGCTTTTCCCCTCCCAACTGGTAGCTTTGTCCCAGCTGCATCACCCCACTCCTTGTACCTTCAAGGGAAGCAGATGTTAGAGACAGGGAACAGCCAAAGGAACCCAGTGGTAGCACATGGCTATGGAAGGGTCTAATAGGCTCTAGTGAGCCACAGCCCCCTGACAAGAGTTCTGTGCAGGGTTTTGCACTCCTGTCTTTGAATGCTGCTTGTAGATTTTTCCTGCAGTGGAGCTTAAAGCTCCAGTGGCTTCATGTTTTTATGGAAGGAAAAATGTTTTTACAGATTTTTACAGATAGGAATTTTTAGGCTATTTTTATGAAGTGTCTGTACATTTGCAGGCAGTTGGCAACTCTGCACACTTGCCTTAAATTCCATGGACTGTCTACTGACAGCCACCACTATGGAACGCTCTTTGCATCCTTCTACCACCTGCAGCTGCCTACCCATCTTCTCTGGGACACATCTTATGTATGCAGTATCACACCTAATTTCCCTTGCAGTTTACCCAAGCTACTTTCATGAACCAAAGTGAGGGTGAAAGGTCTGCCAAACATTGCCTGCTTGCTTCTCATGTGCCTTAAAGTTTACTGATTCCAAAAACTAAAATAGAAGAATCCACTCGTCTCAGCTCAGAGTTTGTTGGTATCCAACTGAAAGTCCATGTAGAAGTGGAGCCGGGCCAAATGCTGATCAAAAATCTGATTACTGCTGTCCCTGCATTTTAGTCCCAGGCCAAGCATTTTTGGGTCATTGGACAGGTTTTCAGTTCTGATTCCAGTTAATTCCCATAAAGAATAAGCTACCTACAACCAGATTGTTTCTTTGTTTCTAGACATTTTCACAATCAGAGTTTCCATGTGGCCTATGCCAAGCTGCAGATATTGTTTAATACTTTCCCTAGTGTGTATTTCTTTTTACAGACTCAGATACTTGTTCTGCCTTCGAACTCCAGAGACCTGGATTTGAGTACCAAATACCGATACCAATCTAGACATGATCATATGGTCTGTAAGTGCCTCTCACTGAGCATCTCATACGCTGCAACCATTGGGGGACTGACCACCATTATAGGCACATCCACTAGCCTCATATTCTTAGAGCACTTTAACAGGTAAGTGACATCACACAGCTCCTGGCAGTCATGTTAGAGACTGGTGCTGGGATAATTACCATCATGGTGATGGTCTTACTATAAGAGTTACTGTCTTATGGAAATAAGAACATATTCAAGAAGATATATTTAGAGATAATTTTGCTTTGCTTACTTTCTATATACTTTCTTTCCTACTTCTTTATTGCTAAGTGTATATGATTAGAAAGAGGATCATTAGTTCATAGATTCATAGATTCATAGATGCTAGGGTCAGAAGGGACCTCAATAGATCATCAAGTCTGACCCCCTGCATAGGCAGGAAAGAGGGAGAGCACTACCTCCCTTGGGAGCCCATTCCAGACCTCGGCCACTCTAACTGTGAAGAAGTTCTTCCTAATGTCTAATCTAAATCTGCTCTCTGCTAGCTTGTGGCCATTATTTCTTGTAACCCCGGGGGCGCCTTGGTGAGTAAAGCCTCACCAATTCCCTTCTGTGCCCCCGTGATGAACTTATAGGCAGCCACAAGGTCACCTCTCAACCTTCTCTTGCGGAGGCTGAAGAGGTCCAGATGCCCCAGTCTCTCCTCATGGGGCTTGGCCTGCAAGCCCTTAACCATACGAGTGGCCCTTCTCTGGACCCTCTCCAGGTTATCCACATCCCTCTTGAAGTGTGGCACCCAAAACTGCATGCAGTATTCCAACTGCGGTCTGACCAGTGCCCGATAGAGGGGAAGTATCACCTCCTTGGTTCTGTTCGTCATGCATCTGCTGATGTACGATAAAGTGCCGTTAGCTTTTCTGATGACTTCGTCACACTGCCGACTCATGTTCATCTTGGAGCCCACTAGGACTCCGAGATCCCTTTCTGCTTCTGTTCCACCAAGCAGGTCATATTTGTTACATGCCCATCTGTTCCTGGTATTTATTCCCCATGTAAAGTAATAATCCTCAGCATGTGGCATCATTATGATTGCAGGAGCTAATTGTGATATCATAGACAGATAATTATGGTAACAGCAGAGGCAGACAAAATCAGGCAAAATAAAAAGAATCTGATTATGTGGTATTATATTTAAAAAATAAAATGAAAAATAAAATGAACTTCATGAGAAAGAAACAGAATTTTTTCCAACCTTTTCCTAGTGGTCTTTAGGGGCCAGATTTGCAAGAGATCAGCCTCCAGAAACAGCCTGATTTCAAATGATATCAGTTCCCAGTGTACTGGCACTTAAATGGGAACTGACTTCATTGAATGTATGGTGTTTACACATGTGTTTACACAACATTACACCTCCTCTCAACCAAACCAAGTACATCTACAGACTTCTTTTTATCAGCTTCTTTTTAATAGAAAGAATGCAGTGCTTCTTGGGGACTGGTAATTTAAGAAAATTTCACACGTTTCCCAGAACGCCAGTTCTGATGGTGAGCTTTTATGAAGAAGTTTAAGTTTTGGAATTCTCTGCAGAAATTGCTTTAGTGTGTCTTGCTATGACACTTCCATTATTTTTTGCTTATTTTAAAGTGCAGCCTAAACTGTATGAATTATTATATACTGTGTGATCCAGTATAATCAGAGATCCTGAGTAAAATCCCTCTTAGCCCTAGTTAAGTTGAAGAAAGTTTAGCTGACAAATTCAGCACAATCAGAATTTTGGCTCTTGTGCTTGCCTTAAATTTTCTGTTCTTCTGCTACCATTTAAAAAAAAAATGATGTACTGTATTGAAGCACACCAGGAATAACTAGATGGAAAACTATGCAAAAGAAGTAGTATTTTAGTACATGGAACAAAGGAATATATGATGCAGGCAGAGTTCTGCAGAGACATCACATTGTATGGATTTGGGAGGTTTTTAACTAAGGCAATCATAGATCATTATTATCCTCTTTGACAACCAATCCTCAACAAAAAGAAAATCTTATTTTCACAGAAAAATGAAATCAGTCCATATGGTGTTACATACACATTTTATTTGACCAAATTAATCCCTGCTATACTAGCAATACCAATAAGTACTCTAAACATTTTCTAAGATATTCAGATGACCAGGACATGTGATATTCCGAGAAAAGGATGGACATGATTAACTTGGCATTTATTTGACTGTGGTTTTGCTATGCATGTGTAATACAGCTATCATACTCATGCTGATCCAAATTTTATATCATGACACATGATCATTTAGTTGTGTATAGATATAAATTATGGGAGCCTGTCCATCCATCCCTCTTGTCTTTTTAATTACTTACAAAGCTTTCTCCTTCACAGCCATTATCCAAATGCTGAAGTGGTGAATTTTGGAACCTGGTTTTTGTTCAGCTTTCCCATCTCGCTCATAATGTTGGTTCTGACTTGGTTTTGGATGCACTGGCTGTTCCTGGGTTGCAAGTGAGTGCAAACTGCTAATGAATGATGCATGGGACTGTAACAATATGGAGTGCTTCAGCTTCTTAGGAACTAGCATCTTAGGTTCACAAAGGTGCTTTCAATCACAGAGGACAAATCCCAACTTACATATTTCTTTTCCTTGCCAAGGAAGTGCTGCTCAGTGCTTGAGGGAAGTCTCCTTTCCTAACAGCATTGGATGTGTAGCCATGGACTTTATTGCTGCTTGAGTCCAGTGGCTGCTTGAGTCCAGACACCCAGGCAAGTTAATCTGAATGTAAAGTGGTTTAGTTAGTGGGCATTAAACCCCTGGGTAAACACTCCTACACAGAATTAAAATGGCCTTAATAAGATTTAGCTAGCTTTGAAAAATAAACTGGATTGACATTGCTAATGTATTCTATACGACAGTGAATGAGATGAAAATGACTTCTGTTGCCATTGACCTTGACTCAATTTGAAGAGGCAATTTAAAGGTGAATAACTGTGCCCTTTTTTCAGTCAATCCCATGACCCTTCCAGCTCCAAATTAAAAGGCCGTAATAAATTTGAAATATTTATTTAAATCCTGAGAGAAAACAAGCCCTGACATGACCCACATTTCTTTTCTTTTTCAATAAACAGCATTGAAATTCCACATTGCATCCAAGAATTCACCCTGATTAATGTTGTTTTAAAGAATACCAGAGAACTGAAGCATTATCGACCACTTGTTAAGTGTGGTTTGTTTCCAAGCCTCTTTAATCTCTGACTCCTGTTCAATGAAGTTCATTAAATAATACACGAGATTAGGAATCTGGCTACCATACTTTGCCTTCACACCTTACTTAGCAATTGGTATTGATAACATATTGACACAATGGCCTAATGCTGGAGGATAAGTTCCTGGTAATATATATGCCACACATTTTTTTTTTCATAGGAAGGCTACTATTATCCTTCTGCTGCTAATGGACTGGCTAAAATAGCATCCCAGATTTTCTTTCTAGGCTAGAAATTCAAGTCCTTATAGACTGTAAAATGTAAGCTCTTCAAAGGTCAAAGCAAGAAGGGAATAGCCTATTAAGATTTTCTGTACCCAAAGCAGGAGGACAATAGATAGTGTGGCCTCTTTTGAAGAGACTAAAGGGGTTGTTAATAGAGATATGACCTTTATTCAGCTGTGCTGCACAGTGCTGCACAGAGTATGTTTAGCTCCAAATATTGGAGGGTCATATATAAAAGTATTTAGCTAACTAAATACTAGATGCTTAGTGAGATTTATAAAACCACCTATGCTCTTTGCATATCTATCTAACTCCTAGGGAAGTGAATGAGAGTTGGGCACCTAACACAAAACTTTTTATAAATTACACAATGTGCCTCTCTGCAAATTAAGGTACATAAATCCCTTTGTAAATCTGACTCTAAATTGATACAAAAAGAGAGACTTCCAGACACTGTTCAGCCGATTATGTAGTATAGAAATGTAGCATATAACAATTGAGACAGAGGAATAGCAAGATCTTTACAAGAGGCTATTCCAGCTTTAACATATTTTCCCACTGATACCCATTACTGCATCTCCCTTTAGAATGGTTTAGCTACAGAAGCTTCTGGATTATTTTTATATCACCTCCCTGTATGGTAAAGAGGTGCAGCTGAAACAGAAAATCAGAATTTTGCTCTTTGAAATACAGTCAAGTGGCACTACTAGAAGCAACACACAGAAAAGGTTAAAGCAAGCTTACAAGCTTCTCCATTTGAATTAAGGATGTCCAAACTTTGTGACACCACAAAAGCAATTTGCTGTAAGCCTGAGGGCTGCACCTCATCTGCATATAAATTTTATAGGAAGTTTAAATGCATTCAGCCATAAAATGTGCTTGCACTTGTATATCCTTGATAGAAGTACAAAAATTGTTCACAGACAAAAAATAAATAAATAAAATGATCTGATCAGCTTTGTCTTTACTTTCAGGTACACAGAGTGGAGAAACTTTGTATTGGTTATCCTTGTTTCTAACAGTGCTAGAAATATCAGGGGGATTTGCATCAGTGAAATAGCCAATAGACTGTAAAGTTATGGAAATTTCCAAGATGCTTTTACTAGATTACTTACAACAAAAGGGAGATTGCACCCTTTTGTAGATTCATGCTGTTTTCATCAGGTCAAGTGTGCTAATCCAAAAAGGTGCATAGTTCCACTAAATGCATATATATATATATATATATATATTGTGTGCTACGACCTGCCCTCAATGAGGTGCAAACTTGCTGTAAACTCTCCCAATCAGGTAGCTGAAGATAGCTAAAGACTGTCTGGCATAAAGAAAACCAGGATGTATAAGGGCTTCTACAGGGAGTGTGATGGGGCATGCCTGAGAAGAAAGAGAATAGCCAGAACAGTACTGCATTTCAGCAGTTTCAGTATGTTCAGCAGTTTCAGGGGCAGATCCAGGAGCGGGGGGTGCAGTTGTATGCCCCCACCTCTATTATGTTTCCTGTTTCACCTAAACTTGAAAGCCAATGGCCTGGAAGGGGCAGCAGCATTTCTATTCAGACAGCCCTGAGGAGTTGATTGACTTCATGGCTCATTTTCATCTCCCTGATCCCTGAATCTCTCTTCGCTCTACAGGTGTTAACAACCCTTTATCCTTTTAAGTGGCCTTGATGTTCCTCTAGTCAAACTATCCTTTTCTTTTCAATTTTGCTATTTGTTGCCATTTCTGGTAATGTCTCTCTTCTGTTTCACAACCCTGCAGATTTTTTGGCTTCGGCTCAAAAACCTTATGTCAGGTGTGGTAACATTAATTCTGGTAGATAAATGACTGACAGTGAAACGTTGGAGGCATTTTCAAAATGCTAAAGAAGGCTAAATTTTGTTTTATTTCTGAATAAGAGAGATACAATTAATTAAATGAGTACAGGATTAATGAAACAACATCTTTTGACTATTTTGACTATTTTTTGCCTAGTTTGTTCTGTTTTTTGAAACTTAATATATAATTTAACAACTTAGTGGACATTCCTAAAGCTGTATTTGTTTTTGCTTTAATCTTAAACTGAATAATATAGTGCTAGTCCCCTACCATATTGGTAAAGCTTCTAGTTTCTCTTTAACTGGAGGAAAATGTGTATTGTTTTATATGTGATGATGTGCCATACCATCTGCACCCCGCTTTTCAAAATCCCAGATCTGCCCATGAATGGCTCCCTTTGTGGGCCATTACCAATTTGCATTAAAGTGCTTATCAGCTGGAAAGAGTTAGAACAGCCTTCAGACTGCTTCTCCCTTGGAGTGGCTCCCAGTAACCCTGGGATTAGGAGAGTGCAAAGGTGATATACAACAACCACCTCCCATTTCATTCCCAGGTCCTGCAGAAAGCAAAGCTCAGACAACTGTGAGATTTGGGTCCTCGGTATTTTCATCTTGTTGCCTGATTTGTGTACTAAATTGATTTTGTTCTGATATCTGACTCCCTTCTCTCATTTTCCTTTGCCAAATTATCCTCAGTTTTAAAGAGACTTGTTCTGTGAGCAAGAAGAAGAAGACCAAACGGGAAGAATTGTCAGAGAAAAGAATTCGAGAAGAATATGAGAAATTGGGAAACATTAGGTAAAAAGATTTCTATTCTTGAGGAATTTTCCCGTCCCTGTTAGAACAAATCACTTCTTTTGTCCTCCATGCTGCCTTTGTGTCATATGATGGATATGTTTTCTCAGTACTCCCTTCTTGATTATTCAGCTCCTTTATTTTGGAACTTATTTTTCTTTCTTTGCAAGATAGGTGTGTGGTCTCATACAAAAATGACACCCACCCAGAAACTTTAATAGAAACACCTATGAATTTTTGTTTCTTAGGGAGGGAGAAGGGAGGAGGACACTGGCTTCAAATTCAAGTTTGTTAATCTGGATTTGCCCCTCCAGTTTTGGCTCTAGGTTGAAGGCAAAACAGAAAAGAACTGCTTTCCACTTCTGCATTGGATGTGGCAGAAATCCCATAAGAAGAGCTTATTTTGTATTTTCTACACCTTTCAGCCTGGGCATGAAGAAGATCTCATGAGAGCAGCTCTTCCAGAATGATTTCTGGACATTTAGCTCAAATTTCATTAGATGCCTTGCAAAGCTTTAGAACAATCAAATCTGAATCCAACCCATTGCCACAATTCAGCTGCTGAACCTAAATCTTTATTTAATTTAAATCTAATCTATTTCCCTTCAGGCCAGCTCTAGTTTGGTATTTATTTTGTGTTTAAATATGTATGCTTATTTATATGAGCATCTGTGTTATGCTTTTCGTAGGCTTTTGAACAGTGCTATAGAGGGCCATCAACAGCACAAGAATAATGCAAGCTCTTTCCTGTCACAGTATTTCAGTTTCTGAATGATGTAAATATATAAGAAGAAAAATATTGTAGTGATTTGGCTTCATAAATATCTCCCTGAGACATTAAAATACATATACAAATTTAAGTGCAAATGCAGATAATGAAATACTCTGATTTTATTTTTATTTTTTTTCTGTCTTGGGCTGGTAACAGCTGGGAACCAAATGTAAAGTTCTAGTTCAGACTGATCTCATGTTTTCTTCTCCTTCTGGAATTTATTGCTTTTGTGTTGGAACCAATTCCTAATTCCTCTTTAATTCCTTCCTCCCTTTGGAATTTGCTTTTGGGTTTTAGTGCTGATCTCAGATTCTTTTCTTTCTTTTTTTTCTTCCCTGTAGCTATCCTGAAATGGTGACTGGTTTTTTTTTCATCCTGATGACCTTGCTTTGGTTTACACGGGAGCCTGGTTTTGTACCAGGCTGGTCATCCTTCTTTGAGAAGTAAGTTACTTTCTTATCAGTTCCAAAAGGATAAAGCAACAGTTTTTAGAGGCTTCTAGCATGGCTATTTGATTATTTATTGACCATAGAATTTCAACAGGCCAGGCCCTTTCAACCAAGATAAATCCTAGTTTCAATCCAAATCCTAATTTGACGTTTTTCATTAATTTATCACTTTCTGTCCACACAACCAAAATTGTGTCTGTAGTTCTCCAGATCGCAGGCTTCTGTTAGAATATATAAGCTAAATGTGTTCCAAAGGGAACAAATGGAAGATCAAAACCCAAAATTAAAACACACACTAAAAAAAATGTTTGTACAGGGGAGCTCCCAAGATTATGTCAGTGCTGTTGGGTTTGATTGTAGTTATCATTCATACTAAGCCTGTAAAAATGTTTTTGACTGAATTGTTTTCCAACAGAGACTGTTCATTTTGTCAAAATCAAAATGTTTTGCAGTAAAGCAGAAACATTGGTGGCAAAATGTTGAAATGAATTGGTTTGTCTTTTTTCTTTTATTTAATTCAATTTAGGCTTTTATATGACATTAAAAGTACACTTAAGACAACACATTATCCTATATGGAATGTATATAATATTGCAACAATATCAAAACAGAAGCTTTACTTGTGTGTGTGTGTGTGTGTGTGTGTATATATATATATATATGAAAGAGAGAGAGTCATTGTATGGACACACACACACATACATATATATATAGGCACATACATATACACATATATGGAAACAATTAGACATTTTGTTTTGATATTGTATATATGAGAGAGAGAGAGTCATTATATGGACAAATGCACACACACACACACATGCACACGTACACATATATAAGCGTTATTGTATGGACACATGAGATGTGATTTTAAAATATTTATATATTTTAATTTCTGTTCTTCCAGTGCTTTAAGATTTCCACCTTGCTTCAAACTCAAATTCAAACTGAAAGTAAATTTCCAATAGAATTTCTGTTTTTCAGGTTCAGGACTTATTTGGGAATTTATCACAGCTCAGAGGACCTGCAGATTAAAAAAAAAAAAATATATATATATATATATCCTTCCAGCAGCTGAGGAAGCCCAGGCCAAGACATTTTTTTTAATCTGCAGGTCCTCTGAGCTGTGATAAGTTCCCAAATAAGTGTGTGTGTATATATATATATATATTTCAGTAATCCTCCCCATTCTCCCATACATGCACAAAGATAATGTCCAGGTTTTTTTTCCCAAAATATGTTTAGTATCTCTTAACTTACATAATTTTTTATCACTGTGGGTTCAATGGGAATACTACAAGAAGTTCTGTTTCTTAATTAGAAAGCTGTGTGGAATAGATTAGTAGATTCATAGATTTGATGAGGCTATTATTAGCCATTCTGTAATAATGATTGTGTCTGGCTAGAGTACACTGGCTCAAATAAAAAGCAAACATGAGTTTGTACCCTTCATATGTATTGATACATTTTCTGAAGGACATCTACTAAGTCTTCAGCTATTCTCTACAAAGTTACTTATGCACAGGCATGCCTCCTCATTTGAAAGTGTAAGCACCTGTACTTGTGACTGAAAATATCTAACATCTTCATATGAATTTATACATACTTGTTTGCTTGCATGAGAATGTTTTTATAGACAGTGCGCAAGTTATTCAGCTGGTATGAATCTGTTAAGATGTTTTATTTTACTAAGCATCTATGAGTTACTCTACCTGGAGCCTGTGAGACAGTGGGTACATCTACATAAGACGCATTACTGCGCAGTAGTGTTGTTTTCTGAACAGTAAACGTGTGCATCTACACATGCACAGGCTTACTATTTAGTAAAAAACGCTACTTGTGAGTAAATTTGCTACCTGCAAATGCAAGTAACAAAGTTACTGGCGAGTAGTTACTGCATGGTAACATGTGTGTAGACAACAACAAGGAAGAAATTTGCTCCCAGACAGCCCTGTCACTAGGAGGCCAACCTCAGGCTAACCCCAGGGCTCCAAGATTGGGAATCTCTCCTGCCCCAGACTTGGGCCAGCTCTCTGGCAGCCCCAGCCTCAGGCCCTGAAAAGCCTGCAGGCACTCAGAGCCCTGGGGCAGATGCAGGGAGCCTGAGGCCACACCAGGCCAGTATGTCCCCTTGTGCAGGCCCCAGGCCAACTGTGCCAGCCTTCCTACACCCTGGTGCCGCTGCCTGGCACTGCAGTATTGCACGCCTGCCAGGCCTGCGCTGTCCAGGCCTGCAGGGTGCTGCAGGCTCCTGCCAGGCCTGCCAGCATCTGGGCCCAGCTGCAGGCAGCTCCTAGCTACTAAGGCCAGCTCCAGCTGCTCACAGTACATCCCCAGCAGACTGCCCAGAGCCTGCAGGTGCTGTGGGGCTTGGCCTCACCATGTGGCTGCCAGTTCCATGCCTCTGCACTGGGTGCTGCAGGCAGCTGTCCAGGCCTGGCAGCATAGGGATAGCCACGCAGAGGCCTGGAGGCCCAGAGTGGGAGCCCAATGGCTTTGTTGCTGATGTCACACCCCACCTCCCAGGACTGCAACTGGTCACAGGAGGAGACTGGCGACTTTGTGGGCCTGTGGGATGAGACAAAGGTGTGGCAGCAGTTCGCACAGAGTGGGCGCTCCAATGCTCATGTCTATGAGGGGCTTCCAGGCTGGATTCAGGAGTGCAGGCATGACCAGTCAGCACAGCAGTGCTGCATGAAGGTCAAGAACACAGTGGGTTTCCATTTCCGACTACACCCATCAGTCAGGGAGTTCCCTCAAGACCGTGCCCTTTATGCCGCAGCTGACAGACATCCTTATGCCCCAGGACCCAGGCTGGAGCCATGCTGTGTACTGCAGCATAGGCAACCTGCCTGAGCCCCCACTCTGGCCTGGCACCCACCCTGACATGTTGCTGGGGAGGGCCCCTCAGGGTGCCAGCAGCACATTCTGCCGAGCTCCCTACCTGCAGCCTCTACCAGCCCAGGCCGAGCCCTGAGGGAGCCCAGGCCAAGCCCTGTCCCAATAGCACTGCAGCCTCAGTCCCAGCCATGAGGCAGTGCCAGCCATGACACAGCCAGCTGTCAGCAGTGCCAGCTCCTCCTGGGGTTGGGGCTTCCCGGGCACCCACACACTGTGCCCTGCTGTCCAATGAGCCCACCCAGAGCTTCACACCATTACCACCAGCCAGGGCCAACCAGCCCCAGCCACATGGTAAGCCCTGCACTATGGGAAGACAGGTGGTGCAGGTTCATCCTTCTTTGAGAAGTTAATTACTTTCTTATCAGTTATCAAGCCCTGCACCACACTGCACCACCAGCCCCAGCCACGTGGTAAGTCCTCCACTAGGGGGAGGCAGGAGATATGCAAACTTTATTGAACAGCATGTGCTCCCAGCTAGGTGGGCATGGGCCCCTCACACAGTGAGGAATGCATCAATGCTGGTGATGATGTCCTTCTCAGCTGTGGGGGGAAGGGATGTGTAGCACAGCCACAGGTAACCCTCCAGGTTGAAGGAGAGGTTGCAGGGCAGCCTGGGGTTGCTCCCTGTACTGTCGAAGCTCAGGGTCCTATGCCAGATCCACCGGTGTACCCAGGGCACCATGGCAAACAGCAGTAGTGGTGCATAGTGAGTCAGGCACCCCTCAGTCCATGCAAACTTCTCCTTGTGCAGCACCCAGGACAGGAACAGCAGTGAAGCTAGGACCACACATTGGCCCTGCTGGCCCTGGACACCAGCTGCCAGAGGGGGAGCCACCCATGCCAGGGGACCAGCAGCTGCCATTGCTCATGGGTGTGCCTCCTGCCCACCAGGCATGCCTCAGCGTGCGCACCCATTGGGGAATAACCAGAGGCCAGGGTGGACTCTGCCTTCTAGGCCCCCCCCCCCCAGGAGGGCACTTCCCCAGCCACATCACTTCACTTGTTTTAAATAGTTTTCACAGGGAAGAGGATGTTTTATTGGTGGTGGATGGGGTGGGTGGTGGAGAGGCTCTGTTGTTGGGGAGGGACGGGGGGAAGGTCTCTGTTGTTGGGGAGGGATGGGGGAGTCTATTTGTTGTGAGGGCAATGGTGTGTTTTCCTGAGGACTGTCTGCAGTGAGCCTGGTGCTGGGGTGGGTGGTGGGGCGGGGTGGCTGTCCAGGCAGGCTACAGTGAGGAGTGCAGGAGGAGGTGCTTGGCCAGCGCCTCTCACACCCAGTGCTCTGGCCCCCACTGGTGGCTTGCCCAGGGCCTCAGTGATGGGCCCCTGCTGGGGTCAGCAGGGCCAGCAGAAGCCCAGGGTGCTGGGTGTTGCTGCCAGGGGCAGGGGAAGGGGCTGGAGCAGCCATGGCATGGGGGCACCATGGCCAGCAGGAGCCCAGGGTGCTGGGCGTTGCTGCCAGGGGCAGGGAAAGGGGCTGGAGCAGCCATGGCATGGGGAGGCAGAGGCTGCAGTGAGAGAGCTGCCACGTGCTGGTCCTGGCTTCTACATGCTGCTTCTGGCCAGAAAAGCAGCTAGCCAGGGAGCAGAGCTGCTTTATAAAAATGGCTGTCAGCTGTTGGCAGGTGCAGCCAGAGCCTCGAGCTCCTCCTGGTGACAACAGGGGCCCTTTGCAGGGCCCCAGGAAGTGGAAGCAGCTTGCAGCTAGGAGCAGCAAATCTGTTCCCAAATATCTGCATGTGTAGATGCCTGCCTGGGATCACTTTCTCACAAGTAGTTTACTCACGAGTAAACTGATCCTGGATCAAATGCAGGTGTAGACATGCCCATAATTAGCCACATTTGTCTAAAGTCAACTAGAAGGTGGGGTAGATCTGCACCTTACAGACTAACCAAAGTAGATATATATAGGACAAGCTTCCATGAGCTGAAACTCATGTCATCAGATGCTGAGAAAGGACATGCGCAGTATATAAGAGAGAGAAATTAGAATGATGTCTATGAATGATGTCTTGTTCCGCAATTTCATGTTCAAATATTTTTTTTAAAACTTGGCCAGTGATGGAGTGTTCAAAATGGTCAAAGTAGTCTGCCACAGGCCTATATGTCCTTCTACAGCTGATGCCAGTTTGTTTGTCATTAATTCTTTCATGTAGGGATCACCCTGTCTGTTCTGTATGCTGTAGACAGCAGAGGGGCACTGTAACCAGGTGATGGCATATATGGCATTATTGGAGTTGCACATTAATAAACCTCATTTGTTATAATCCATGTGATTTGGTCCAATGATGGTCTATATCAATGTTGGGGCACAGAAGGCATTTGAATCTGATGAAAGGTCTGGTGCCTCAGTGAGACTGGGAGTTGGGTAACCTGTTGTTTGAGAGGCACCATTTAAGGTTGGGGGGCTGCCTATGACGAGGACAGGTTTGTCCCTCATGACTACTTTAAGACAGCCAGCCCTTTCCAGGAGGTTATTAATGATGTATCTAAGGTGTTCAAACCAGGTCAGCATAGGGTTTAAGTCTGGCTTTGTTGATTTGAGTGTCTGTAGTTTTGGCGTTGTATTGTAATGGTGGGAATCCCTACTTTAGAACCTTACAGTGTGCATCACGGTCAGTGGGATCAGAATAGATACAGTTGTAACATAGAGCTTGGCTGTAGATGATGAATCTAGTGGTGTGCTTAGGATGAAAGCTGGTGGTATGAAGGTAGCTGTGGTGGTCTGTTGATTTCTGATACAATATGGTGGCAATGTGGCCATTGCAAACCTTCACAGTAGTGTCTAAGAAATGAATTTGTTGGGTAGAGCATTCCAGAGTTGGTGGAGGGGTGGAAGTTATTAAAGACCTAGTGAAATGTCTTTAGAAATTCCTTCTCATGTGTCCATACAGTGAAGATGTCATCAATATACCTTGGGTAGATCATGGAACCTGGAACCTGACTCGCTTTAATCTTTAGGATTCTAGCAAAAAGTCAAGATAGTCCTCAATTAGGCTAAGTTTGAATGCACTGTTAGAGAGATACAAGTACATTATTTTACTTGTGTTGGCACTGAAACAAGCTGAAATTATTTCACTTTTCCCTTATAATTAGGGACCTACCTAAATCATGGCAGAAGTGCACTTTGCAGTGGGGCTCCTTCAATCTTGCTTTTTTCACTGCACTCCCCTCTGCCTACCCCAAAACCCATCCTGCCACTGATTGGCCGAGGGGCCTCATCAGCCCCACCTCTCACCACTTGCTCCTGATTGACTGGGAGACAAAAACCATGATTTAAAATATGGCCTGGTTTTTGCTTCCTGGCCAATCAGCAGCAAGTGACAGGGCTGCCAGAGCCCCTCTACCATTCAGTAGTGAGGGGGACATGTGGTGAAAAGAGCAGGATTAAAGAAGCTGCTGTGCAGCACACTTCCACCCTAATTTAAATAGGTGTCTACTTAAATATATGGGATAAATACATAGATGATATGTTGCAGAAAGAAACATGATAAAAGAATTCAAGCAAACATGAGAACCAAGGTTAACTCCCCAGCCTTGCCACTGAAAACACCCTTAACAGGGTCTGCACCCATGCTTTTACTACAGCAAACTTCCTTTAGTGTGTCTTTGCTATAATCAAAATGTTTTTTCCTTAGGAAAGGCTACCGGACTGATGCTACTGTCTCTGTATTCCTTGGCTTTCTTCTTTTCCTGATCCCAGCAAAGAAACCACGTTTTGGAAAGAAGGAGGAAGGTGAGAAGATATTTTTTTTGCATGAAACTTGACCCATTTTTCAACACCTGTAGAGTTTCTGCTCTACGGTGGTGGTCTCTGCAAATGTCTCAAAGACAGAAGAATCTTTCTCAAGCAAGCAAATGCCTCAATTCAGTTTCTTATACTCCATACTCTATCATATCAGACCTTTTCCTCAATATCTTTCTTAAGCCATTTGATCACAAACAAGTTTCAAGAAGTTATGGCCATCATCCCATCTTCCCTTTACTTCCCTAAACTTTTTCTGTTGTAACACATGATTATGATTTAGAGAAGGCTGAGAACCACTATGTTAATTCCAACGTAGACTGTTGCAAAATGCAGATGGACATAGCCCTTGTCATATTGGGACTGCATGAAAAGTGAGCAACTGCTTAACACACAAAAAAGTCTCTGGGTCTATTCCTATTGTTATCTGCTAATGTAGGGAGATGTAGTGCCATTCTCTGGCAACATTAACCATCATTTTCTTCTTGATAACAAATATTATTGTTATTTAATATTTACTTTATGGTAGCACTCAGAAGTCACAATCAGGATCAGGGATCTGTTATGCAGGGCTATGCCAGTATCTACAAAGGCATGAACCCTCCAACTTGACTCCAAATAATTATTAGAAATTGTATGCAAGTATTTCATTGCCGCTGCAAGTAAATACGTAAGTTAGGAAAACTGCATTAACACAAAGTCCATTTCCGTACAAAAACTGGCCCCATAAAGTAAGTTAGCACTACCCACAGGAAAGACTGGGACTATAAATGGCCCTTGTATGGTATTATGGCTCTATTAGGAGTGAAAAGATGAGGACCACCTCCTCAGAAATAGGAACCAGATCTTAAACATTCTTATCTAGGAATCGTTTGTACACAGTTTACATAGGAAAAGAGTTAGTCTCTCAAATAGATCTGACTTAAAAGCCACAGGAGTTTATAACCAACAGTGCCACTAACAGAAGCCAATAAGAAGCTGGTAAAGCATCAGAAAATTTAGGCACCCTTCTTCCTGAGACATAGACAGTCATAGAAGAATCAAACTGCATTCTGTACTAGCTGTCTCTTGCAGATGGGCCATTAAGAGTAGCTATATACAGAGTACATTACAGCAGATATGCTTAATGTCACACAGACAGAAATCAGTGAGATATCCTCTACAATTTAGAGAAATGTAACATTGTTAATGCAACATTAGCTGTGTTATTTTTTATTTTGCTTTGACATAGGAGATGGAGAGAATTCTGCAAACATTAACTCAATGGAGCCAATAATTACCTGGAAGGACTTCCAGAAGACTATGCCCTGGGAGATTGTAGTTCTTGTTGGAGGAGGATATGCTTTAGCAGCTGGATGCAAGGTAGTATTTTAGAGGTTATCCTCCATTACTTGGGTATATGGACCCTTAAAATGTCTACAAGCCTAGATCTTTATTTAACCCCTTGATGTTCTGACAGTTCTGGCAACAAAATTCCTCTGCAATTTCAACTGGCATGTCATCTACATCTCTGGGCCATTGTTCTGAAAGTCAGTTATATTGGGGATTTCAAAAACTTGCTGCATAATCTCTCTCCTGATGACTGGACTTCATATCACTATCATTATCATAAGAGCAGCACCCTAATCCCCAATCAGGGTTGGGCTCCCACTGTGCTAAATAGCTTGAGAACATTTTATTTAGACGTAGTCCCTGTAATGTCCCATCATTCACTGAGCATTCAGCGGGCCTCAGCTGTACTCTTGAAGAGACAGGAAGGACAGTTCTGTACCCATTCAGGTTTGATCTATCTGCTAAGCAACTACATGGACCACTTTATATTTGGGGTTTATTAGAGACTGACTGAAATCATTGACTCATGAAGCTGAAGTGGGTATGTAGGGAATGGCCAACTGAACTAAAGTTACCATAATTTGCTGGTGAAATTCTTCATTACAAAGTCTCTCAGACAAGAGGTTTGCATTTCTCAGTATACCATGTTCTCCCTCATTGTGTCATTATTGTCTTTCTCAGACCTCTGGCCTTTCTACATGGATTGGGCGCCAGATGTTGTCTTTGAGCAGCCTCCCCTACTGGGCTGTTACTCTGCTGGCCTGCATTTTGGTGTCCATGGTAACAGAGTTCGTTAGTAACCCAGCCACCATAACTATCTTCTTGCCTATTTTATGCAGTATGGTGAGTAAAAACAATGGGGTTTTAAGCTGTTGTTTCCCAATAAGCTTTAGGGAACTATCTCAAGGTGTTAGGGTATCAGCTGTGAGCTGATGAAGAACTTGGTTCAGTGCTGCTGTGGTGCTGTCAGGTTTAGAAGCATTACCTTAGCCAGTCAACAGGCCTGGGTGCAATATGATATCATTAGTAAATACTCTGACCACCCATATGCTTTCAGGTCTTATTGAGGTCCTTTCAAAATAAGCAAATACGCCTTGAGGGAACCTACAATCTAAGAGTAACAGAAATGAGAAGAGGAAGATAAGGGAAGAAAAAGAATAGATCACACAATAAGAGCATGTGGTTACTTGCTGAAGCTTGTACACAGCTTTAGGCTTGATTTAACTTTTTATTAGATCTTGTATCTATTATTCATTAGCTAATGTTTCTCTTATTCACTTTGTATGAGGGAAGAAGTGACTTCTGAAGGGGATTCTAAATATAGTGAGGGGGCTGGCTTGGTGCGCAAGTTGACAGACCAAGTATAAGGACAGCATGGAAGAGTGAACAGAGGTACTTGTGAAAGCAAGACAATGTGGAAAGGGAGTTTGTCATCAAAGGCAGAGTGGAAGGAAAGACACCACTTATATCCTACATTAGTATACAGAAACCATTGCTTTAACTGCAGTGAAGGCAACAGGAACCTGCCTTCATTTTTGCATTTTATATCATGAGAAATACTGTCTACCAGGGATCTCACCTGTGAAATGTGTTTCTCCACAAATGCAACCTAATGACTGACACGGTGAGGTGATAGGGAAGCAATCTGAATTTAGAGTCCAAAAATGCAGCCTCATTCCCCAGACTAGGAATGAAAAGTGTTCCATGGAAGCACATGTTCAACTACTAGAGGAGGGGAGCCCTTTGTTTCAATGGACAGTGATTTACCTTAGATGCAGTTTGGAGCTGCGCTAATTAGATCCAAAAGCAGCAGCATAGACTACAGATCTCCTGCAGTGCCAAGGGGCAGGAGAAGTAAATGGGAGAAAGAACCCATTTACCCCCATTAAAGCATGTTAAAAGTTTGACTAAAGTTTCTGGTTAAACAATACCTGACATTTTTAGTGTACTCTGCTTTCTACAACTCCTTGAAGGAAAATTACCCTACTGTTAGACCTCAAAATGTAAAGAACCAAGGAGTTTCTAATAATCCTGATTATTAGTGTAACTGGTCAGTTGTAATAAGCAGTGACAAAACTTGCAAAACCAAACCATCCTACAATTAAGATGAGATAACTTTTTCTGCCTTCTACTAACAACCAAATGGCAGAGTGAAACTTCTCTTCTCCCACCCCTTCTTTGTCTTTCCAGTCAGAAACCCTGCATATCAACCCTTTATACACTCTGATTCCTGTAACCATGTGTATCTCTTTTGCTGTGATGCTGCCAGTTGGCAACCCTCCAAATGCCATTGTCTTCAGTTATGGGCACTGCCAGATCAAAGACATGGTAAGTTCTGAGAATAGTTTTATTCCCCAGCCCTGAAGCAAACAGAAACCACTGACTAATCTGGAAATAATAAGGGGAACCATGATAGTAACAGATGGTTGGTTTGCACCACAGCTATTTCATGGTAGCTGACAATTTCGGAATATCTGCTGTAGGTATGCATGTATGTCATCTTAATTTTTTGGCATTAATACAGTGGTTGTGAAAGGTACCAAAGAACTAGCAACACAAAATCACTCATGTTATTCTGTAACTCCAATATAATAGCAGTCTGTAAAGAAAGAGATTAAGGAGCAGAATGAAAGGGGAGAAGCCAGAATTATATGATAAATGAATATATCATATAACTCTGCAGTTTTTCATGTAGCTATCACGCTAGCCATGTGGGAAGTAAATCCAGGAGCTAAATATATAGTGGTGATGTCCATATGGAAAACTGTGAAGCTATGTGATGAATTGCATTTATCATGCACTCTTGGCCTCCTTTCTGGCACACTGTCTGCACTCTCACACACAAAAATCTTCACTGGGCCTTTTTGCTACTGTAGTCAGCACATTTACTTTGCTCTTTATACAACAGAGGATTGTCAGCTTGCTAGTACCCAGACTACTGCCTTCTGAGTTTGCTAGTTAACACTTTTTACCTGACTGACATTGATTGTGCTCTCATGTGCTTGTTTTTCATAGGTGAAAGCTGGGCTGGGTGTAAATCTGATTGGTCTAGTGGTTGTCCTGATAGCCATCAACACTTGGGGAATTAGCCTTTTCCAGCTGAATACGTTTCCAGACTGGGCAAGGGTCAGCAATGTAACTGGTCAGTTGTAATAAGCAGTGACAAAACTTGCAAAACCAAAGCAGGCAGGGGCAAATATTTCATCTAAATTGCACATGTAAAAGAAAGGAAGAAACTTGAGTGTATATAGATCCAGGATCCAGAGCAAAACATAAAGCAAGTCCACAGGTTGTTCTCCTAAAAAAAGATACCTTGCCCTTTATTTCCTAAAGTGAAAATTTGCATTGCTTTTTCACTTTTTAAAATCACCGTGAAACAAGACAGATTTGCTTTGATTTATTGCTTCTTTCCCTGTGCTACCATAATTCTACAAGAAAATCCAACTTAGAGCTTCCCTTACACTACAGAGCAATCAAATTGAACATTTCCCTTTCAAATAGGGGATATATGATCCCAGTGAGAAAACTGAAGTATATACTAGTATAGTATACAACATTAATATAGTAGTATACTATACAACATACTATAATAACATACACTTTCCTTCCATTCTGATGTCCACAGAAGATAGAAGGTGACTCAGTTTACTAACTTGGAGTTTTTTTAAGACTAATTATTGTAAATGCAGGTTTGTTTGGGGTTTTTTTTTTCCTTGAGGTGAGTCATCATTACTTAAAGATGTTCAATCTGTTAGCTAATCTGTGTGGACTAGAGAAAAATTTGACTAGAAAATGTGTAGCATCCACATGAAAGGGAGATGAGAAACTACTACTCAGGCAGGGATGAATGAGGGACCTGGACATGGCAACATGGGAGAGGACCTGGGGCTTGTCCTCAGTCCTCACATGAAAATTTACATGTTGGAATACTTTCAGTCTCTTCTTTGGAAAGAGGAACTTCAGAGTCTTCTCAGGATCTCAGATGGGAAGTGTCAGGTTCCTCATTCCTTATTTTTCTGGTGTGGACGCTGTCCACGGCAGTCCTGCAGCGGAAGCAATTCCCAGCAAACCCTGACATGGCCACCAGTTTTGTTCTCTTTATGTTTCCTTTGCTGTTGATTTTATTGATAGAGAAGGGGTAGTCCTTTCCAAGGTCACAATCAATGTTGCTCTGTAACTAAGATGGGGAGGGCTTGTAGGAATGGCATTGACAGATCTCACCATCACAACATTCACACTGAGATCACACACACACACACACACACACACACACACACACACACACACACACACACACACCCCTATTCTTTAGCAGCCCAGAGAACAGGGGCTCCAAGCCAAGGTAGCTTCAAGATACAGCAGAAAAGCAGCACACCAAAGGACCATTTTCTCTTATGTTTATAAAGGTGGGTGCCTTTCATTACTGATTGTATCCCAGTTATCCCCACTAGATTTCCCTTATGATATATATTGTTTTTAATCACTTATTTAACGTCAAAACCTTTGATCTGGTTATTAGGATAATTGGGTCCCATATAATCACTTTAGAGTTGCAATTTAATCACTTGCTATGTGGCTTTGTTCAATAGGCTTCCCATTTGGAAACAGTATATTTCAATGTTAGTGTAAATGTCTATACAATGTAAAGATAATGTCAATAAAATAAATTATTCACCATGTCATGACCTTGTGCTTTGTAAGACTATAAATGAGACTCAAATACATGTCTCGCTGTGACCCAAGTAGTGTTCAGCATAACAAAGATTAGAGTAAATTTTAGTACTGGCATATTGATTTTTAAAGAAAGGGTTTCCACATATTTCTGCTTGTAATTAAAATGGTATAACAAGATGTGCATGTGTTGGTAGAGGTGGATATGACAGGACTAGGGGATCTATCCAGTTCTTCCTCGATCAAAATAGTTCTTAGTACTATCATGAAGGCAACATGAAGGAGGCAACACAACTTGGCAAAACAAGGTCTATAGAATGTATCTGCTGGGAATTTGTTCCTGAAAAATATATTAAGATGGACTCCTGTAGATTGACAGTGTAGCATAAACCATGGGTTAGTAAATGTCATACCTCTCCTTTCTTTTGCAGCAACGCACAGGAAGGCTGCTTGCTGCTTCTTCCAATAATGAGTTAAGTCCTTTAGTTCAGATAGGGAAAGCTTTTGCTGAAGATCTTGAGTTCAAGTCCAATTGATGAGTTATACAGAGTTGCAGCAGTGCAGTGTACAACTTGTTTATTTTTTGTGTTTGTTTGGGTCAAATGCCTTTTTTTAAAGGAGACTGGGTCCCATCAGTATTGTTGCCCTTTTTTGACCTACCACTTAGCCAAGATCTGGGATCTTACCAGATTGTTTCTGTTAGGTGGAGACATGGATTATGTGAATCAGGTGTTTCCAAAGTGCAGTCCTGTTAATTTTCAAAGAATGTACGCAAAGTCCTGTTTTTCTGAGTACAGAAGGGACAAAATAACAGGAGGTAAGTTCCTTGTTTTCAGTTTCTAAGCCTGCCCTTCCAGTCAGCACCCTGCCCAAAAGAAAATATCTTGTTTTCTTAGTTTATTCCCAATGTTAAACTCATGCTGCTCCTTTTTTAGGCTGTTTGTATTCTGATTCCTGTCTCTCTCACTCAGAGACAGCTTCAACCAAATTTCTTAGATCCTGTGTTTTTAGTGAAGGCCAAGTCTGCCCATCTTTTGCTTCTCTCTGGCCTTCTTATTTTGGTCTATGCCTTGGCCAGTGGTTTCTTTTGCTCTAGCTATCACCAAACAAAGGAACATTTAATTGCTTTCTTATTTAGTTTAAATGAAAAGTCATTAGCATGGTCATCACCAATGTCAGTGAGACCTTAGTGTAAAAACATGCTTGTTGATAGTCATGAACACCCTTCACAACAATAGTTTTTGTTTAGAAGACATTTCTAAATAACTGTTGCATGCCAAAATAATAATAAACAAAATTATCTGCAGATTTATTTTCATAAATCCAAAGAGATAAATGTCAGCTCTGACAGGACTGAGGCAGAGACATCTAGGTCTGGGACAGACATTGCATAGACCGGTTTGACCCAAATCAGTTAAGTCGGATACTACATTCAACCAGGTTTATCTCAAACCAGTTTCAGCCATTTTCAAACTGGTTTATATGCACTGAACATCTGTTCTGTTACAGGTTTAAGCCAGTTTCTGATCACTTAAACTGGTGTATGTGTAATGTCTGTCCCTAGCCCTAGAGAGTAAGGTTACCATATTTCCAGTTTCAAAACAAAGGACACCTGTTGTGGGGCAGGGAGGGGGTAATATGATTGCGGGAGAGGCAGTGATATGCTGGTGCCTTGCCCCTGCCCCTCACTCCCAAGCCACAGCACCCCCCAGCCCTGCCCCTGCCCCTCACTCCTGACCCAGAGTACCTCACCCCCCAGATCATGCTGGTACCCCTCACTCCCAACCTGTAGCCCCTGCATCTCTGCTGATGCCCCTCACTCCCAACCAACAGCCCCCTGACACTGCCTGTGCCCTGCATTTCCAACCCAGAGTCCCCCACCCTCTGGTTCCCCTCACTCCCAAGCTGAAGCCCCCCTGAGCCCTGCTGGTGCCCCTCACTCCTGACCAACAGCCCCCTGCCCCCCCATCCCTGCTGTCCATGCAGCTCCTTGCTGTCCCTGACGAACCCCCACCACACCCTCTTCCCCCGCTGGAGGGGCAGACACCTCCCCCGCCTTCCCACCCTGCTGTAGCCCTGGTGCCTGGGCAGCGTAGGCACCACCCCCTTGCACACCCATCCCCTCACACACACACCCACACACACCCACAGTTCCCAGCCTTGGCCCTCCAACACCAGCAACCCCCACCTCCCCCCGACTTAGTTGCCTGCAGCTGCGGGGTGGCGTGGAGACCCATGTGATGTCCCAGCTTACAATCCCCCTCCCCTGCTCCCTCCAGCTTTAAGCAGCTCCTTGCTGGGGTAAGCCAGGAAGTACCGGGAAAAAACTTTGATGCTGAGCACAGGCAAAGCAAAATCCGACACATTTCTTGATATTTTAAAAAACCTCTCGGATTGAAATGGGAGGACCCAAAAAGAGGACATGCCCAGGAAAATCCAGATGTATGGTAACCCTACAGAGGAGTGAACTTCATCAAGAAATTCCCACAAAGCAGTGGTGTAATTAGAGGAGAGCAAACTGGGCCCTGGGTGCTGACTTGAGGTGTGGAGAAGAGGGAGGCGCAAAAAATGGACTGCTGCTATTAGCTACATGATCTCAATCATAGTCATGGTGGCAACTAGAAATCACCGCTACCTCTCCACCCTGGCTGTCTGGCTATATCCCTACACTGTTGCCATAAACCATATGGCAAGTGTCAAGACAGAAAAGGATCTTGGAGTCATCATTGATGCCACAATGAACATGGGCTGACAAAGTGGGGACGCGGCCAGGAAGGCCAACCATACCTTGTTGTGCATCCACAGATGCATCTCGAGCAGATCCAAGGAGGTGATTCTCCCCCTCTACGCGACACTGGTCAGGCCACAGCTGGAGTACTGCGTCCAGTTCTGGGCGTGCACTTCAGGAGGGATGTGGCCAATATGGAGAGGGTCCAAAGGAGGGCCACCCGCATGATCAGGGGGCAGCAGGGCAGGCCCTACGAGGAGAGGCTGAGGGACCTGAACCTGTTCAGCCTCCAAAAGAGAAGGCTGAAAGGGGATCTAGTGGCAGTCTACAAACTAGTCAAGGGGGACCAGCAGGCACTGGGAGAGTCCCTGTTCCCCCGAGCACTCCCGGGAGTCACAAGAAACAACGGACACAAGCTAGTGGAGGGTAGTTTCAGGCTAGACATTAGGAAGTGCTATTTCACTGTCAGGGCGGCTAGGATCTGGAACCAACTTCCAAAAGAAGTGGTGCTGGCTCCTACCCTGGAGGTCTTTAAAAAAAGGTTGGATGAACATCTGACCGGGGTTATTTGACCCCAGTACTCTTTCCTGCCAAGGCAGAGGGTCGGACTAGAAGATCTCCTCAGGTCCCTTCCGACCCTACCAACTATGAAACTACATCAGTGATCTTAGTGTACCCTGGTTTTGCTGGCACCCCAGACTGCCAAGTTCCAATTTTTTGGCAGCTCTGGCTGTTCACAGAAATGGAATTTCTATAACAGCATTTTTTTTTCACTACAGAGCAACATAAAACAGGGCTCCCTGTCATTTCAGTGGAGGACATAAGAAAGTATCTGGAGGGCAGAATTTGGACCAGAGTCCACTGTATGCTAAATGAGAATGTGAATTATATGCTACAACAAATGCACCAGCACTGGTCTCTGAGTAGCAAGTATTTGGAGTGAATAAATTAGTGGTGGTGCACAGGGAGTGCATGGTGGTGCACGTGCACCCCCTGAGAGCACCAGTGCACCCCCTGACTGGCCGCACTTGCCGCTTACGTGATGGACAGGAGGGACAGGTGGGAG